TGTGTGTGTGTGTGTGTGTGTGTGTGTGTGTGTGTGTGTGTGTGTGTCCTTGTTTATGCTACTTTGTGAGGCCCATTTTTCCAACTTATACTGCATTGTGAGGACCAACTGCTCCTTATGGGGCCCAAAGCCCGGGCCCCATAAGAAGAAGTCCCGTTGGTGGGTTAGGGGCTAGGTTTAGGACTAAGGTGTGAATTGAGGATGTGTTGGGTTTAGGGTTAGGTATGTACTGGTAACGGTTAGGTTATGGATAAAGGTCATGGTTAGGCTATAGAAATGAATGAAAAATGAATGGAAGTCAATGCAAAGGCCCCATAAAGATAGCAAAACAAACCTGTGTGTGTGTGTGTGTGTGTCTGTGTGTCTCTGTGTGTGTGTGTCTGTTTATCTAGGTCATTTCAGTAGTGTTGCAGCTAAAAATGTGAATACTAATGTAAACCTGATCTTTCATGGTTTTCACTTGGTTTTAAATTATTATGAGATACTGTGTGTGGTGGCATCGTGGTACAGTTGGTAGAACTTCTGCTTTTCTGCTAGAAGGTTGCCAGATCAAATCCCAGCCAGGAGCCTTTCTGGATGCATGTGTGGGTTTTCTCCGGGTACTCCAGTTTCCTCCCACAGACCAAAAACTTGCATGTTAGTCTGATTGGTAACTCTAAACTGTCCCTAGGTGAGAGAGAGAGAGTGAATGGTTGTTTGTCTCGTGTGTCCCTGTGATGGACTGGAGACCTGTCCAGGGTGTCCCCCACCTCCCGCACAGTGACTGCTGGATATGGGCAACCAGTGACCCCCGCGACCTGAAAAGGAAGAAGCGGATAAAAAATAATGGATGGATAAATTTAACAAATACTAACAAAACATTTTTTACAATATATTACAACAGAAAAGTAATCCTAATGGAATTATCCATCCATCCATCCATTATCTTTACCCGCTTATTCCATTTTGGGTCACGGGGGTCGCTGGTGCCCATGTCCAGCAATCACTGTGCGAGGGGCGGGGTACACCCTGGATGGGTCGCAAGTCCATCACAGGGCCACATAGAGACAAACGAGACAAACAACCATTCAGTCTCTCACTCACACCTAGGGACAATTTAGAGTTACCAATCAGCCTAACATGCATGTTCTTGGTCTGTGGGAGGAAACCGGAGCACCCGGAGGAAACCCACGCATGCACGGAGAGAACATGCAAACTCCACCCAGAAAGGCCCCTGGACCGGGGTTTGAACCAAGGACCTGCTTGCTGAGAGGCAGCAACTCTACCAGTTGCGCCACCGTGCTGCCCCTAATGGAATTAAACAAATTATAATAATTTCAAATGTGAAAAGGACAAGTAGCTCCTACACCGAGTGTAGACAAATGTTCATAGCATCTAGTTGCAACGTATGAAATCTTTTTCTTAATTGTTTTGCAAGCACAAATGCATTTACTTTCTTACATTCAGCATAAAGTTAAAAATTAAACAACCTTTTATTGTTGTTAACCACTTAGCAAAGAAATCTAACTTTGTCCTTCTGATATTTTTTGTACCCAGGCCTCAGTTATTGGTGCTTCTGAACCTGGATTCAGATCAAGCAGTCAAACACCCTCGGCTGCTGTCCTTCACCACTCAACTGAAGGCAGGGAAAGGCCTGACCATCGTGGGGAATGTTTTAGAGGGAACTTATCTCACAAAGGAGACAGAGGCCAAGAAGGCTGAGCAGGTATACTAAATGTGTCAGACACAAGCAGACATATTAAAAGTAGGAATAAGGTACTAGCTATGGATTGGTGCACTCAGGCTGCTTCAATGTAAATGAGTTGGTGTGTACCAGTTATTTTCCTGGGATTGTGTACTTGGATAAAATCAGATCTTACCTCATATCACACAGTGGGCTGTGGTAGCTTGGTGATCAGCGCCACGGTCTTGTAATCCTGAGGTCACGGGTTCGAGCCCAGGATGCATTAGGTAGGGCATCCAGCGTAAAACAAATTGCCAAGTCTTTCATACGAGTTTGTTCGCTGTGGTGACCCCTGAAGAGGGAGCAGCCGAAAGGAACTTACTTACTGAAGATGTTTGTCAGGTTAATTAGCAATTTAAGAGTTCAGTGCATGTTTGCATTTTTTTGTCAATGTCCTTAAATACTTAGCTTTTTGTTTACTATATGGATTTTTGTTGTTGTTTTTGCTATGTTGTAGTTTGTTTCATGCACAATTGTCATGTGCACAATTGGCATGTACTAAATAAAAGTTTGACTTCAGTTCTTTTCATATTTTCTCATTTAGAACATCAAGTCCGTCATGTCAGCTGAGCGTACCAAGGGTTTCTGCCATGTTGTGGTGTCTTCAAACCTGAGAGATGGCTTCTCTCACCTCATTCAGTCTGCAGGCTTGGGAGGGATGAAGCACAACACAGTGTTGATGAGCTGGCCTGGGACGTGGAGGCAATCTAATGACCCGCAGTCATGGAGAAACTTCATAGGTACAACACAGCTTATGGTTCAAAATGCACATACCGTGTACTCTTGCCAGTTTATAAAGACTATAAGATAAGACTAAAATGTAGTTTAAGGTTCTGTTCAATGGTTCTGGGTTTGTTTAGAAGTGTTACCAACATGTTGTTAACTCTAATTCCGCTAACTGGACTTCAGTATGTCACCTCTGAAACATTTTTAACAACAAGGTTCCCACAAAGACACACACAGCATTCATGGTGCTACCTGGAAAAACTAGTTACTGTCAGGAAATATTTTCCATGAACTAGTGCTGAACTGGAGAGCAGTTTATATATGTGCACCCTCTCTGCTCCCTGTGGTGCACACAGCACATGTTCTTCCTATGGAAAGGGGGCATATGCTAACATGAAAGGTCAATACATGTACAATTTCACCCCTAGTAACGGTTATTTTATTCTGAGAAAAATCCCAGATAAATGATTGTTGTTTGTTTAAAAATCAAATTTCATACAATAATAAAAAAAGAAAACACCCCATCCAGGAAAGAAACCTAGACATCCCTCTTCCACAACACTTCACAGTTTCTCCAGTGGGGTCCCTGACGCCTTTCAGAGAAGACACACAATCACTTCCAGCAAGTTCTGGATTTTCTCCCGGGCCTCTTCCCAGTGGGAAGAGCCTGGAAAACTTCTAAAAGGAAGAAACCAGGAGGCATCCTAACTAGATGCCCAAACCACCTCAACTGACTTGTTTCGATGCAGAGAAGCAACAGATATACTCTGAGCTCCTCCCATATGCTGGAGATCCTCACCTGTGAAGGAAGCTCATTTCTGCTTCTTGTATCCGGGATCTCGTTCGTTTGGTCATGATCTGTACCTCATAGCCATTGGTGACGGTTGGAGCATAGAAAGACCAGTAAATCAAGAGCTTTGCCTTTTGATTCAACTCTTTCTTCACCATGACTGACTGAAGCAACAGCCTCATTATTCATCCATTGTGCCAACTCCCACTCCATCCTACCATCATTTGTAAACAATATGCCCAGATACTTAAATTCCTCGGCCTGATACAAAATCCCCAAGGAGCCATTCCACTCGTTTCCAGTTGAGAAACATGGCCTCAGACTTAGAGGAACTGGCTTTCATTCCAGCGGCTTCACACTCAGCTGCAAACTGTCCCAGTACATGCCAAAGGTCATCCGCATAAAGCAGAGATGAAACTACTCTCCAGCTCCCTTTTTAAAAATGAGAACCACCACTCTGTTTTTTTTATTTCACCAACACTTCTTCCCTGGTAATGGACTCATCTTACTTCATCGGACTTTGCCTCCTCAAAAGTAGACATGGTGTGTGGATTAAGGAGATCCTCAATGTGCTACTTCCACCACTCATTAATATCCTCAGTCTGGGTCTACAGTTCCCCTCCGCAATTTCCTTTTCTGAGACACCAAACAGTTTGCCAGAACCTCCTCAAGGCCAATTGAAAGTTCTTCACCATGGCACCCCCAAATTCCTCCCATACCCAAGTTTTTGCATCTGCTACCACCAAAGCCACAGTCCTTCTTGCCACACTGTACCTGTCATGTGCTTCTTGCCACCACATCAGGTACCAATGACTTTTAGTCCACATATCCTTGAAGCCGCATCTACAATATTCAGATTCCATGTCCTCAACTGCACCTGGGACATGTGAAAATTCCTGGAGGTGTGAGCTGAATGCTGCACGGACAGATTGCTCCACCAGACATTCCCAGTTCACCCTCACTATGCATTTGGTTTTTTTAACTAGTCTGTCCAGCTTTCCACCCTGCCACCGGATCCCACACACCACCAGGTGGTGATCAGTTACAGCTCTGCCCTTCTCTTCACCCAAGTGTCCAAGACATAAAGCCACAGGTCTGATGACACAATTACAAAATCGATCATCGACCTTTCACCTAAGGTGGCCTGGTTCCAAGTATACTTACAGTATGAACCGCCCAATGCTTGAACATGATGTTTGTTATAAACAACCCATGCCTAGCACAGAAGTGCAATTAGTGAATATACTTTGTAATTTGGGTTCAGATCAGGGAGGCTGTTCCTCCCAGTCACCCCGTTCCAATCAGGAGCCAATCATTAAACATCGCCCAGAAAAGGGAAACAAGGGCTTCCATGGTGCAAGGCCTGGGGTGGGTGTGGGAAAGTCTCGCTGGTGAGTATGTGGTGGTCATATCTTGGCTCCTGTGGCTCAACTGGGCCAAACCAAAGCAATGACAGGACACCACCTCCACATGGACCAACCACCTGCGAGGAGGACTGTCAAGGTCAGATGCTGTGGATGCCAGTCAGCCAGCGAAGGGGTGTCTCCAACTATATTGATTCCCTGGAGCATAGACTAGCTCTTGGGGTGTGGAAAAAAAAAATCTCATTAATTTAAGAGGGAACATGGCTTTTACATTTCAATTATGCCTTTCTATATGCTTCTGTGTCTTTGGATTCAATAATAGATATGTTACTTCTAATAAGAGTACTTTGCATGTACAACTGTATTATTGACAGTACACTGTTGTCTCCTGTCCATCCAGAGACAGTGCGTGAGACCACAGCAGCTCATCAAGCCTTACTTGTGGCTAAAAATGTGGACAGTTTTCCCACCAACCAAGACCACCTAGGAGAGGGTACCATTGATGTGTGGTGGGTGGTTCATGACGGAGGATTGTTGATGCTACTGCCCTTCCTGCTGCGACAGCACAAGGTGGGTAGATGTATTCAGATTGTTTTCATTCTTAAAAACTCAAGAACCAAAATTATGTTGCCTAGATTTTTACTTTTTCTTCATTTGCGCACCCTGAATCATCAGATTTCTTTGATTGTGCTTAAACTTTTAATTTGTTTTGTCTTTTTAGTCCATCCATCAGTTTTTGCACTTCACGATCATTGTCTTTCTCTCCTTCAGGTGTGGAGAAAATGTAAGATGCGTATCTTCACTGTAGCCCAAATGGATGACAACAGTATTCAAATGAAGAAAGATCTCCAAATGTTCCTTTATCACCTGCGACTGGACGCTGAGGTGGAAGTAGTAGAGATGGTGAGATTTTGATTGACAAAGTAGCACCACACTTCACCTTGTGCATGTCCTATGTTGAAGATGATTTATATTGGTAAATAATTCTAATAATCTTCCTAAATTATAAAGTTCAGCAAGAACCAGGCTCACAGTACTCAAAGTAATAATAAAATATAATAAAATAACAATAATAATAATGATGATTTTAATAATAATTATTGTTGTTACCCTTATTTTATCACTGCTGTCAAGGGAGTGGTAGTGCAGAAGTAAGAAAAGGAGCCTGTGATCGGGAAGTCTCCGGTACAAATCCCCTGACCATTACATCGAAATGTGGTGGGAAAAGTGAAGCCCCCACACCTACCTCTACCCTCGTTTGCCCCTTTCTGAGCCCTTGAGCAAAGTCCCCCTCCACAACACACACACATCTGCTCCCATGGGTGCCCTAGATGGCTGCCCTCTGTTCCACACATGTGGTCTGAGTAGATCTGTGAATGCACCAGGAAGCATTCGTCATAAAAAGAACGGACAAACCTCCGTGTGAGTTGGCTCGTTGTAGTGAGCCTTAACAAGGGAACAGCCGAAAGAAAAAAGAAACATTTTATCTCTTCTGTTGTTTTGGCACAAAAAAGCGTGTGATAGTTACAGTAACTACTTTATTTACGTAACTGGGAAGCGGAAATACAAGTAAGACAAAGTAAAGCAAAACATATATACCACTGAATGTACAAACCTGGTTGTTGTTCAAGTTTTTCTTTTTGTTTAATCTTAACAAATATTGTTTGTTACCAACTTCGTAGCATGATAATGACATCTCAGCCTTCACTTACGAGAAGACGCTGGTGATGGAGCAGAGGTCACAAATGCTGAAACAGATGCACCTTTCCAGGACTGAGCGAGAGAGAGAGGTAAAGTATTCCTCAACATGGAAGAGTTTTTGTTGAGAGCTGCATTGTGTGTTCTCTCTATACAAGGCCACATGGACAGCAAGAGTCAAGACGGTGTTTTTTTGCTACTGAATGACTTGAAACGTGCATACATGCAAACTGAGAACCGTCAAGCAGTTATATGACCACTTCCTAATGTTTTGTGACATACATACACTGAAAAAATATATAAATGCAACACTTTTTGTTTTTGCTCCCATTTTTCATGAGCTGAACTCAAAGATCTAAGATGTTTTCTACGAACACAACAGGACTTTTTCTCTCAGATATTGTTCACAAATGTGTGTAAATCGGTGTTAGTGAGCACTTTGTTGAAATAATCCATCCACCTCACAGGTGTGGCATATCAGTAAGATGATTAGACAGCAGGATTATTGCAGGGATGTGCCTTAGGCTGACCACAATAAAAGGCCACTCTAAAATGTGCAGTTTTATCACACAGCACAATGACACAGATGTTACAAGTTTTGACGGAGCAGCAATTGGCATGCTGACTGCAGGAATGTCCATCAGAGCTGTTGCCTGTGAATTGAATGTTAATTTCTCTACCATAAGCCGTCTCTAAAGGTGTTTCAGAGAATTTGGCAGAACATCCAACCAGCCTCACAACTGCAGACCATGTGTAACCACACCAGCCCTGGACCTCCACATCCAGCATCTTCACCTTCACAATCGTCTGAGACCAGTCACCTGGACAGATGCTGCAACAATTGGTTTGCGTAACCAAAGAATTTCTGTACAAACTGTCAGAAACATCTCAGGGAAGCTCATCTGCAGGCTCATCGTCCTCATCGGGGTCTCCACATGACTGCAGTTAATCATCGTAACCGATTTGAGTGGGTAAAGGCTCATCTTCAGTGGCATATGGCACATTGGAGAGATGTTCTCTTCACAAACAAATCCTGGTTTCCATTGTACAGGGCAGATGTCAGACTATGTGTATGGGGTTGTGAGGGTGAGCGGTTTGCTGATGTTAATATTGTGAATCAAGTGGCCCATGGTGGTGGTGGGGTTATGGTATGGGCAGGTTTATGTTAAGGACAGTGAACAAAGGTGCATTTCAATTCAATTCAAAAATACTTTATTAATCCCAAAGGGAAATTAATCGTTGTTGTAGCTCATCTTGGTTTCATTAGAGTTGTTCTAGATGCTGATAGTTTTGGGCAGGAAGGATCGCTTGCAGTCCGTCCCATAACAGATCCGAAGAAACTGGCTGCAGATGCCGATCCATCCACCTAGACCCAGCAGACCTCTTGTCCTCTTGGGCAGCAGGACTGCCTGAATGCCAAGCAGAACTCCTCCCCGAGCAATGGCCATTTCTCCCAGCAGCCTGCCGAGCCCCTCGTTACTGCGGACTTAACTGCAGGTGCCGGGGGTACATCTCAGTCCTCCTGCTGTCACGAGCTGTGTGTCCTGCTACTTCCAAGATCTCACCGGTCAGGCACTCGAGCACAGCCTCCAGGTAGACGGTAATGCATCTACGGCACCTCCTTTTCAACACATTTGGGATTTGGGGCTGTAGCTGAGGTCTTATTTGGTCGTTTGAGATGTTAATCAGCAACTCTCAGTTGTAGAAAACCACCTTGTTGTCATGGTTATGCATCACAACAAAAATCCAAAAGTAAAAAAGGTCTCAGTAAAAATCCTTCCAGCAGCACAGCATCTGATACCAGAGAAAGCAATCATTCAAAAAAAGCCATTTAAATCCAGAAAAATTAGTAATAAAAGTTTTCAAAAGCAAAATCTCAGAATGAATGTAACAGAGCTACTCCAACATGCAGCCACCTTGAACGGCGCAATTCTGGAACATTATTATTAATTATTTTGAATGCACAGAGATACTGTGATGAGATCCCGAGGCCAATTGTTGTGCCATTCATTCACGACCATCATCTCCTGTTGCAGCATGATAATTCACAGCCCCATGATGGAAGAATCTGTACAAAATTCCTGGAAGCTAAAAGCATCCCAGTTCTTGCATGGCCAGCACACTCGCCGGACACGTCACCCACTGAGCGTGTTCGGGGTGCTCTGGATACGACAGCGTGTTCCAGTTCCTGACAATATCCATCAACGCCACACAACTGTTGAAGAAAAGACCAGCAGGCCACAGACAACAACCTCATCAACTGTATGCGAAGGAGATGTGTTGCACTGCGTGAGGCAAACAGTCTCACCAGAGACTGTGACCACCTCACAGACCCCCTACCCGCCCCAATGTAATAAAACTGCAGTCTGTAGAATGGATTTTTATTGTGACCAGCCTATGGTACCCCTGTACAATAATCATGCTGTCTAATGAGCATATGCCACACCTGTGAGGTGGGTGGATTATATCAACTACGAAGAAGTGCTCACTAACACAGATTGACACAAATTTGTTGAACATCATTTGAGAAAAAAAGACCTTTTGTGTTCATAGAAAAAGTCTTTGATCTTTGAGTTCAGCTCATGAAAAATGGGATCAAAAACAAAAAGTGTTGCATTTATATTTTTGTTCAGTATATATAAAACCTAATACAAACTTTAATCTAAATGACAACTGGCCCCTTTTTCTCGTTTACCCTCCGCTGCGTGTTTGGGCCTTGCACACGGTTCAGATTCAGAGTATCACTGATGAGTCTCGTAGCTCAATCCGGAGGAAGAACCAGGACGCCGCCGAAAGCTTGAACCTCAGCCGGCAGTCCTCAACGATGGAAGACAACCAGGAGGACGAGGTAGTTAATTGTGTCATCCCAGTAGCCCCTCACTGTTAGATACACTGAAGCCATCTTCACAAAGCCCCATCTTTGGCTACACTCTTCAATGTCTTCATCGCTGAGATCTCTTTTAAAATCTGGACTCAGGAAACATCAATTTATTGATGTCTGTAAAGGTTTAACGTAGAGATGAAAGTGGACATTGTTCAATTGTGAATATTTCCTGTAATGCAGACATCAGTTCATGATGCCTTTTATTGTTTATACACTGGGGGTGTAACACGATTAACTTTGTGTTCATCACTAGAAATATGAACGCAAATCAGAAGTTGTAAAGTCATTGTTAAAGATTATAACAAACTAGTACTTACAGACATATTGTTCAGGTCAAAATCTTCTATGTCTACGATAGGTGTAAATATCAATTTTACCTATACCTTTACCAAACACGAGAAAAATAAAGAGGTATAATCTGTTGTTTAACAGTATTTTTTAATTAAGTAGTGGCTGTAGCTAGTTGTACTACATGTAAACATTAATTCTTGTAAGTGTTAATCTCATATGATAAATATATTCAGAGCTTAGTCAAACTGGTCAAAAACCAGCTGTTTTTATGAATGTTTGAGAAAAGATTGGATCTCAACAAAAAGCTCCAAATAAACAAGGATTATCACACTTTTTTTGTTGTTGAACAAACTTATTGTTAATAGTTTGACTCAATTTATAGTAGTCCCTCGTTTATTGCAGGGGAGCCGTACCCTGAAGCCCCGCGATAAGTGAAAAACCTCAAAGTAGGAATAGTAGCGCAAGTAGTAATTAGTAGTTTATTTTAGTATTTATATATATAAATATAGTAAGGTGTTTTAAACCCTTCCCACACTCTTCCTAAACAATGTTTCTAAACTCTAAACGCTCTAAAACAGCACAGAATGTCATGATTCTGCTCCCTGCCTCCTCTGCTTTCAGTCACTTGCAAGCGCTCTTGGCCACGCCCACTTCTACGCTCCTCACGGTGAACAGCTGATCAGCTACAGGAGGAAGTTTATCCTGCAGTGTGGGCTGCACAAAGGTGCAGCAGGTGATAAATAATTTTAAATAATTAATTTAAATAAAATTCCATGCCGGTCGTGCAGCTCATCCATCAATCAGCCAATTGTGTGTCATGTCCAATTTTATTTTGAAAAACCACGATAGAGAGAGTCTGCGATAAACGAACCGCCAAGTAGTGAGAGACAACTGTACATCTAAAACAAAATGTGTTTTTATTGTCACAAAAGAGCCACAATAACTTCAATGTGAGGATTTCAGAATATTACTCCAAGTATTGTAATTTTCCTTGTCTGGCTTTATCCTTGTCCACACAATGTTTTGGATTTCTGATTTTCATCGTGTTTCATCATGTTGCATCTGAGACAGTTCTTTAAAGACTAAAGAAAAATGCTGCAGCACATAATGCACCAGAAAAAAACCCAGCTAAGTCCAGAACTACAACCAGGTTCCTGATCATGAGCCAGTTTTTATAGTTTTCCTGTCAGACGTTTCATTTGTAGCTGAAGTCCAGACTGGTCCAACGTCTGAGCTGTGTAGTCATAAATGTTGCTTTGTGAAGACCATCCCTTTGCCTTGTGAGGCTGCTGGCCTCCCATGACCCCAACAGTCCCTCTGTACCCCGCCTCCTGTGAATGAAAGAGTGAACAGTGTTGTCATAGAAACTTGATGTCCTGAGTATTTATCTGAAGGATGGTTCATATTTTGATTCCATTTTATTTACTGTTTTTACCATAATTTGCAGAGCAGGTTTAACCCAGGTGTGCATTGTGACAATACTGTCATCTCTCTTTTCTTTACTTCCATTAATAGATCGTCCTACCTGTATGATTTTGGCATCATCCATATTTGTCTCACATTTTTTACTTGATTCATCACTGTTCAGTAACATTTATTAGAGCTAGACAAATGTTTTATCAGAACATCCCTTATTGAAGAAACGTGATTTTGTTCGACAACAGGGACAACTTTAGTACTTCATCACGCTGTGCTCTCCTGCATCACAACAAACTACATCCTCTCAGAGCTGGCCATTTACATGTTCGCCATCCAAATCACACGTGTGTGTTTTGGTTCTTGGCTGGTTTTATTTCCAGTACTGTACTTATGAAAGCCAAGTCAACTTTATTTATAAAGCACATTTAAAACAGCAGTTGTAATCAAAGTGCTTAACGATAACATCAATGAGAGTAAATTAATGGGAAAAAATGATAATAATGTAATAAAGGCATGGACTAGTTTTTCAAGGTCAGATCTGGACATCACTAACTTAAGTTTAGCTATCTGCTTTAACTAGAATAAGCTTTTCTGCAGAACAGAGTTGATTTGTTTATTAAACTTGACGTCAGAGTCTAGAACCATCCAGAGATTTGTAACGTTCTGTTTTAGATATGGCTCAAAGGAGTCGAGGTTTACAGGAACAGAGACAGCAGTAGAGCTAGGGCTAAACACAATAACTTCAGTCTTCTGATCATGAAAACTTAAAATATTAGAAGCCATCCATGCCTTGATGTCATCAAGACATTTTAACAGAGGGTGAATGGAGCAAGAACTAGTTGGGTTTAAGGGCAGATAAATCTGACAATCATCAGCATAACCATGAAATGAACGACTGTTTCCTCAGGACAGACCCCAGAGGGAGCAGATAGAGTGAAAACAGAAGATTGATTATATTTCTGCAATTGCCTGTAAACATGTAGTTGTTTTTACACATGTTTTGCACAGCATGAAGAGTCTAATTTGAAAGTTGGTCAGTCTGTACATAATTTTTGATCATTAATGGGAGTCAGTTTGACATTTCAAGCTCAGTCTTCACAGTCTGACCTGATGGATGGGGCGGCTGTGGCTGAGCAGTTAGAGCAGTCGTCCTCCAATGCGAGAGTTGGGGGTTAGAATCCACCAGCAGTCACATGCCGAAGTGTCCCTGGGCAAGACACTGAACCCCATCATAGCCTCTGATGTGTGTCCCATCGGTGTATGAATGTGATCTAAAAGTACTGATTAGTCTCATTAGAATGATTTGTTCAATTAGCTTTGTAGAGATCTAGTGCTGTATGGATGGGTAAATGAGGCACAGATCGTAGTGTAAAGCGCTTTGAGTATCTTGAAATAAGATAGAAAGGCGCTATATAAATACAGTCCATTTACCATTTACCATGGATGCACACATCTGCTTCTTACATACATTACATTCTGAATAATGTCCAAAAGATAACAGCATGTAAGAAAACTGCATGTTTGTCTGTTTGTTGAAAGAACTACCCATGCTTGAGGTCGAGCTTCATTTGCAACATTTCTCAACTGATATTTAGGTGATCCTCATATCTACACCCATTACTGTTGTCTTATTGTTTTTGTGTCTTCTTTCCAGGCCCAGCTCATCCATGACAGGAACACGGCTTCTCATGCCACCATAAATGAAAAGGTGGATGAAGGGCTTGAGCGGGTGCACATGACCTGGACTAAGGACAAGCTCCTCACAGAGCGCAATCGCATCCGAGAGCCTAATACTAACGTGGCAGTCCGTGACCTCTTCAGCATGAAACCGTGAGTACATTTGACACCAACCAATAAACTAAATGTGTAAATTTAAAAACATTCATGTAATTATATGTTGGTGAAAAATGCTGTGGTGTGATATAGTGCTGTTTCACGTGCCTCAGAAGAAACTTAAACATCTCCTAAGTTTGAATTTTACAAGAAGCTCTGTACAGCTGGAACTAGGCTAGTATGTAGAAAACAGAATTACAGAGTTTGACAAATAAAACAAGACCCACTGTAAAACACAAAATACTGAGGAGTTACTGTCATTTCTGGACTATAAGCTGCTACTTTTTCACACGCTTAGAACACTGCATCTTATACAGTGATGCTGCTAATTTATGGATTTTTATGGGCTAACTAGCTTCATGTCACCAAAACATTTAGCCTCGTTACACCCGGGTGCTCACATAGCTGTCCAAAACACGTCTCGTGATCAGCTGCAACACGTGATCTCTGGGGGCACAGCAAAGTTTTGCAGCCACTCGACATCAGTGTGAACCGTGCATTGAAAGTGACACTCGGAGCTCAGTGGGAGGCTTGGCCCAAAACTGGCCGCATGCGAAGAACAGCTTTTGCTCAAGTCTACCAGTGGATCCTTACAGCACGGAGTAGAGTCAAAAAAATCCTCTATCACCAACGAGTAGCGATGAAGAGGACAGGACAAGCTCAAGGGTGAATTTGCCTCGAGACGAAAGTGACGTTGACTGCGACAACAAAAGAGAGACTGAGGACGTGTGATGAAGTAACTCTGAGGCATCTAAAAAAGTTAAATCTGGTCCTCTGGACAGTCAAAAAAACAAAACAAAGCAAATCAACAAAAAATGTAGAAACGTTTCGTCTCTCATCCAAGAGACTTCCTCAGTCTGAGGAGTTGTATTCAGCTCAGTCTCTTAAATAGCACCGTCTCAGGGTGGATCAACCAGTTTTGCTGCTGACAACCAAAACCAGCTGATCACATGCTCAAGAAGGACCATCAGCATAACAATGGATCATTAGCACACTGATGGCTGTTTACTATTCACAGGAGTTTGAGTGATACTAGCAATCACAGCATTGTAAGAGGGGGACAGTTGAACACGGAGGTCTCCACCTCTGTTTAATGATGGACGGTTTCTTTTCACAAAGATGGCCTCCTTTACTCCTCTCTCAAACCATCGTTCCTCTCTGTTCAGGATGTGAACATCTTATCCCTGAAAGAGTGACCGCTGACCTGGAGATGAGTGTAGACCGCAGAGTCCTGGCCTGATGATGTTTATCTTCTGTGCTGGGCCATCCTTTTGGCCAGTGGCTGTTTTGTTTCCCCGATGTAAGACTGATCACAGCCCTCCTGACACTGAACAACATACACAACATTGCTCTGTTTGTGCCGGGGGACTGGATCTTTGGGATGAACCAGTCTTTGCCGTAATGTATTTTGGGGTTTAAAAGCCACTGAGACGTTTATTTTCTAAACATAACGTCCCAGTGGCTTTTAAA